TTAAGTTAATGAGTAACTTTCTGTTAGAAATATCACATGGACAAGTAAGCATAGCAATATTATAATAGTGTGTGAATTGTGTTAGCCAGGATGGTCTCGATCTCCTGACCTCGTGATCCGCCCGTCTCGGCCTCCCAAAGTGCTGGGATTACAGGCTTGAGCCACCGCGCCCCGAGGTCTTGCCATGTTGTCCAGGCTGGTCGCAATCTCCTGAGCTGAGGTGATCCACCCACCTCGGCCTCCCAAAGTGCTGGGATTACAGGTGTGAGCCATCGCACCCGGCCGAGTATGTTTAATGCAAGTTTATTAATAGGAGGCAGCATAGTGTAGCCAGTTTTAAGCTGAATTCCTACTCCACGATTTCTTGGGTATGTGACCTTAGGCAAGACACTTAACCTTTCAGAGCCTCAATTTCCTTAATTTTAAAACCCTACTTTACAGGGTTGTTGTGAGAATTAGGAATAATAGTATGATAAATCTCCCATCACTCTGGCTAACAGTGGAGTCTATATAAATTTCAAGTCCAGGACCTATAGGGAGCCAGATGATTTGGAGTTCTTTGTGAGAAAAGCTTTAATAAATAAGTAAAAATGGTTTATAGATATCACACCAATTGTTAGAAAATAGTGGACATTATTAAAGTACCTACAAGTTCCAGGAAGGTATCCTTTCAAATTATTTGATTATTCTCCCAACATTCTGGTTTATACTACAAAATTGCCAGGAAAATCTCAAAAAAAGGAAACAAACCCTAGAACAATAGTAAGTAAGTCTCAGCCCAATTCCAGGCCAAATCAATATTAATGAGCTTCCTCATACAATCCTCTTAATGATGAGAAGTTTACCAGAAGTGAAGAAAAATAACGTGGTTAGAAGCAGTATTCATCGATTTAAGTCTGAAGTTAAAACTTCTCACTTCTTTCTCGATTGTTACATAAATCTCTGGAAAAATTTAGCACAGTCCCCTCTCCCACAGTTTTTGAAAACTGATAATCTCCATGCAGTTTAAAATCCAGCCGTAAACAAAATCTGAGAAGTGTCGGCACTTAGAACTTTCCATTTCAAAGACCTGAAAGCACTCGCCAATATGGAACATCCTAAGCTTCACTGGAACTGTCTCCGTAGCCACTCCAGTTTTAGAGAGCAAGGAGGTCTAGCCACAATGGTTAAGCAAATAGCATACAGGAGATGAAGGAAAAACGAAGAGGAAACCACCAGCAACATCAACAAAAGCTCTCATAAAACAACGTGGGGGAGGGCATACACTCAAATCATACATGGGAAACGTGTGGTGGGAATCATCAAACAATTTAGAATGTTGAGTAAACAGAGATCTTACGCTGAAAAACCAACGTGAAGAGGTTTAGGTATGTACTTAAAAGAAAGGGGGGAAGCGTAGAGAGGAGGGCCGTTACCTCTCCGTAAGCTGCGAACCCTCTCCTGTCTACAGTCTCGTTTCTTTACTCACTCCACGAATCCCCCGTTTTCTGCACTGAGTGGTCAGTTTCTGGTAGGCAGACACCTAACTGCCTCTTCTCTAACCCAGTCCCTCTTGGCAGCGTCTTGGACACAGTAACTCAACATAGGCAGACAGCATTCCTGGGCGTCTCGCTACTCCTTGAGCCGCCTTCGTGACGCTTTTTATACTTCAGTGGAATTGTCTACTTGTCTGACTCCCTGAAGACTACGCTCCCGACCCCGAGAGGCGCTTAGTAAACAAAGGTTATGAATCAATCATTTGTGGACTCGCTTATCTGCGCCTCCCTTTCTACAAACCCCCCTTAGGCTCCTTAAGGCAAGGACCCTGCATTAATCATCCATATCCTCCTCTATCCTCCTCCCTCTGAGTGCTCGACTCCCCTGCTGCCCGGCTAGCTCCCAGAGGAAAGGGATCGCGTCTTTCTCATCTTTGTGTCCCTCAGCCTATCACAGGGTAGTGCAGGACAAACTTCCGGTAATGACAGCAGGAATTGGGGTGCAGGCAGGATTAGGGAGGAAAACAGGAGCTACACAGATGGGAGACAGCGGTTGAAAGGCGGATTGAACAGCCCGGTTGCCAGAGCCGACATAAGTGTGGGGAGCCGAGAGATGGGCGGCCAGGGAAGGGTCGCAGCCCGCTCCGGACGGGCCCTACCTTAGGGTAGGTGTGCAAGGGGTAGGTCAACTGACAGGCCCGGTGGCAAGACGCTGTATCACCCAAGACCGAGTCAAATGCTTCAGCCGAAGCGGTCCCCGAACCTCCGGTCAAGGCCATGGTCAGCAGCAGCAGCGGCGGCAGCCCCAGTTGGGTCCTGACCCATAGGCTCGCCTTCGGCGCCGCCATCTTGTTCCCCTCTGTCACAGCAGCTCAGCTTGTTGCTGTTTTCTTTGAAGGGTTTCCTCCTCCTCCTGGGGCCAGCCCCCTTCTCCGCCCCACCGACCGTTGCTTCCGCCTCCGCCGTCGCTTCAGCTCCGCCCTGACCCGCCTGAAACTGCCGCCTCCTGCCCCACCTCTGGGACTACGAACTTCTCCTAGGTGGGCGTGAGGCGGGGAATTCAACCATCGCGAGCATTAGCGCGAAGCGGGTCCCCCTCTCTTCCCTTCGCGGGGCAGGCTGGGGCATGTAGTTCTCCATAGGCGGGAGGCGCACGGTGCTGTCGGGAAAGTTGGTCTCGGAAAACTACAGCCGCCCTCGGCGCGCCTTCTGCCCGCATTTCTTCGTAGTGCATTCTGGGGAATGTGGTTCGCTGTGGCCCAGAGGCGCGAGGGCCGGCGGAGTTTCTTCAGAGGAACTACAGCCCTGGGAGGAAGCGTCTATTTAGTTTCAACACAGACGACTGGGCTTGGGAGCCTACGGGGTTGCAGTCTGGAGGGCGCCAACAGCAGCTGCCAGGGCTGCTTTTCCTGGTGGGTCTCACGCCAGACCGTTGTTAGGTGCCCCTACCCGAGCTCCTGAGTGCTGAGAACGAGGAGGATGGGGTTTCTCCTTGTTCGGGGATCCAGAGATTACAGCCGTGGGTAGGGTCCTCTGACCACCAAGCAGTTTGTTCCAGGGGATGGCTGCATATTGTGAGACTCCCTGCTGTGTTCTGGAGGTGGTTGTCAGTTGCTGATTACCAGGGAAACCCTTGGGATTGTGGCTGTGGTGAGGTGATTGTTAAGAGGGCGGCATTGAGCCTAGTGTAATCCTAACCCTTCCACAGCCCAATCTTAATTGGAAGAGGGCTTAGGTGCACGCTCTAGGTGGGATTCCAATATTGGGCCAATCCCCCCAATATTGGAATCCTCCCTAGAGCGTGCACTTCTGGAATCTAGGAACCTCCTAACCCAGGACGTAGGCTGATGATTGTTTACAGTTTCAATTCTTAGGAAGTTCCTCAGGAGGAAATCTTCTTGTCAATTCCACTCGAGTCCCCATAATTCATGAATTCTTCCAGAGAACTCAATTGTGTTACTTTGGGGAGCAAATATCACGGCAGTCTTTAGTGAGGTTTTAGAATCTACCGTCTTTCTTGACCAGAACACGCTGCAAGCACGTCAAGGTAGTCGGAGGCCCCTAACAATGGATAAATTCGTCATTCGAACGCCTAGAATCCAGAATAGCCCTCAGAAGAAAGATTCTGGAGGAAAGGTTTACAAGCAGGCCACGATTGAATCTCTGAAGGTGAGAGGGGATCTGGGGCTAGAGGAAATGTGCAAAGGACTGATAGCAAGGTGGTACCAGAGGTTCTGTTGTGAAAAGACCTATGAATTATTTCTTGTTGTGCCTCCTCCCACAAAGTGTACCTGACCACTCCTCCTTTGTTTCCCCCATAGCTGTACAGACTTACATTTATCAATTTCCGCACACCTCTGCTACACCCTTGTAATTACTCAGGTTTACAGCATGTATGGTAGCTGGTAGGACAAGTCCCATTTGTTGTTATTCTTTTGCAAAATGTAGTCTGTTAGGAATGTTAAAGTACCAGATACGATTCTATATACCTACCCTGTACAGACTTATTTAGGGGTGGGTTTTGATGCTGTTCTCTCACATCTTACTGCCCAGAACTGTATCAAATGGCTTTACAGCTTCAGCTGAGACCAGGAAAGAGGCTGTTTTTTGTTGTCGTTGTTGTTGTTTTTGTTTTTCAGAAAGGGTCTCACTCTGTCACCCAGACTGGAGTACAGTGGCACGATCTTGGCTCACTGCAGCCTCCACCTCCCGGGTTCAAATGATCTTCCTGCGTCAGCCTCCCAAGTAGCTGGGATTACAGATACCCGGCTAATTTTTGTTTTTGGTAGAGATGGGGTTTCACCATGTTGGCCAGGCTGGTCTCGAACTCCTGACCTCAAATGATCCACCCGCCTCTGTTTCCCCAAGTGCTGAGATTACAGGCGTGAGCCACTGCCCCCAGCTGGAAAGAGGCTGTTTTAATGAACTCTTTGCTGCCTTGAACTCAGTCTGATGTCTGCAAGCAAGATGCAAAGAGTAGATACAATGAATCAATCAACATAGTCACCCAATAAGTGCTAAAGTAATTATTATTTTACTAAAATGAAACAAAACAACTTGTATTTGGTCCCCTTTGTCATCCTAAACCTTGCCTCTTAAATTTCTGACTTTTTCATTTTCTTTTATCAGTTCTTCTTCCTCTACTAGGTTCCTAGTGTTTGTGCTCCTCAGAGTTCTGTTACATTTTATGTATTTGGCCAGGATGACATCCATTCTTTAGGCTTTCTATGCTAAAACTGCCAGAACTGCACCTCCAGCCTAGGTTTCAGAAGGTAGGAGGATCTGGGGCTAGAGAAAATGTGCAAAGGACTGTAAGAGCGAGGCAGCATTCTGAGTACTTGACACATACTCAGTTGGACTCCTTTTCTGGATGTCCCACAGACTTACCAGACCCATATTGGAAAGCAGTGAAGGAGAGTATAAATAGGCCCTACTGGTAACTAGGTGATCTTTAGTAGCAAGTCAGTCCCTTCTCTAAGACCTCAGTTTCCTCATCTATAAAATGTGGAGATTGAACTATATCAGTGTTTCTTCAAGGGGGTGCTATTGTTGCATGGGGCAAGGTAATTCGTCATTATTTGGAGCTGCTGGTGAGTTACAGGATACTTAGCATCCCTGGCTCTCAGGCACCTAATGCCAATGGCACCTCCCATTCTGATAACTGAAAATGCCGTCACATATTTCCAGACAGCACTTGATTGAGCCCTACTGAACTCTAGATGATCTTTAAAGTCTGTCCTAGTCTTGCAGTTCTGTGACTGCTTAGAACACATTCAAGGTTTTCAACTGTCTCTACCTTGTCAGAATATTCTTGGATAATTGTACATAGCAATGATTCTCAATGAGGGATCATGTCAGACTCTCTCCAGGAAAAAGGTGGGAAGGAATAGTTGAACTACACATACACTCACCTACACCTACAAACACCCATATTATTATTATTATTTTTTTTTTTTGAGATGGATTTTCGCACTGTCGCCTGGGGTTAAGGGCAATGGTGGGATCTTGGCTCACTGCAACCTCTGCCTCCCCTGTTCATGCGAGTCTCCTGCCTTAACCTCCCTAGTAGTGGGGAATTAGAGGTGCCCACCACCACACCCGGCTAATTTTTTGTATTTTTAGTAGAGACAGGGTTTCACCATGTTGGCCAGGCTGGTCTTGAACTCCTGACCTCGTGATTCACCCGCCTCGGCCTCCCAAAGTGCTGGGATTATAGGCGTGAGCCACGGCATGCGGCCCAAACACCTATATTCTAATATACCTCCTCCTACCCCTCTCCCTTCTGGGTTCCTTCTCGTGCCCCAGTTGAAAATCACTATGTGTGATGATGAAAATAAATGGAATAAAATTATGGAATAAAATTATGGAATAAAAATAAAACAACAGGCTGGGCTCAGTGGCTCATGCCTGTAATCCTAGCACATTGGGAGGCCGAGGTGGGTCGATCACCTGAGCCCAGGAGTTCGAGACCAGCCTGGGCAACTTGGCAAAATCCCATCTGTAACAAAAAATACAAAAATTAGCTGGGTATGGTGGGGCGCGCCAGTAGTCCCAGCTACTCGGGAGGCTGAGATGGGAGGATTGCTTGAGCCTGGGAGGCAGAGGTTGCAGTGAGCCAGGATGGCACCATTGCACTGCAACTGGGTGACAAAGTGAGATACCATTTCAAAAAAAAAAGAATAAAACAGCAGGCATATGTAATAACATTCCCCTTAAAGGCATTAGCTTTTCTTCCAAACCTGTTCCTTGTTCTCCTGTATTAATGTATATCCATATACCAAGTAACTGGGACTAGAAATCCAGGAACCATCCTTAACTCTTTTTTCTCTTATATTGAATTTTCTTTTTTCTTTTCTTTTCTTCTTCTTTTTTTTTTTTTGACAGAGTCTTGCTCTGTCATACAGGCTGGAGTGCAGTTATATGATCACTGTGCAGTGACTATGATCACATCATAGCTGGGACTATAGGCACATGCCACAATACCTGGCTAATTTTTTTTTTTTTTTTTTTGTAGAGACAGGATTTCATCATGTTGCCCAGGCTGGTCTCGAACTTCTGGGCTCAAGCTATCTGCACTCCTTGGTCTCCCAAAGTGCTGGGATTACAGGCATGAGCCACTATGCCTGGCCTCAATTTTTAGTTTTACTTTCTAAAAGTCCTTCTTGCCCATACTAACTTGTCTTCCACTTTAAGTTCAGAATCATACTTCTCATCTAGAGCAGTGCTATGGTCTGTTGACTTGTCTCCCTGCCTTTGGCATCCCCCATTCACCTCCATTCCACTCTTACACCAGAGAAATATGTCTAAAACAGAAAAGAAAATCTACTCAGGTCACTTTCCTGCCTAATCCTTCCATAGTTTCTCATTACCCATCAATAAAGATCACAGTTTTTTACATGGCACCCAAGGCCTTCCATGACCTGGCACCTGCCTGCCTCATCCCCTGCTAGTCTTTTTATTTATGCCTCATCCAGTGTCAACCATTCACAGTTCCCCAAAGATGTTGTGCTCTTTCCTTCCTCTGTGCCTTTGCATATACTGTCCTGTTTGCCTGGAATTCCCTTACTATCTTGTCTTGGAGGCAATGTAATGCAATAATTAAGAACACAGACTTAGGAGCCAGACTGCCTTACTAAAATCCCAGCTCTGCCACTTAACTACCTTTGTGACCTTGGTCAAGTTATTTAGCCTCTCTGTGTCCGTCTTAATCTATAAAATGGGGATCAATAATACCTGTTTTATAAGGTATTACGAAATTTGAGTGAGTCAACATATGTAAAGTGTTTGGTACAGAGTCTGGCCTATACTAAGTACTATGTAAATGTTTGCTATTATTGTTGTCATCATTCCTTTATAAAATCCTATTCATCTCCCATGATCTAGTTCAAATCCTCTACTATGGGGCCCTTCCTGACCACCCTTTTGTCCCTGAGACACAGAGCCAATCTAATCACTCCCTTCTTTGAGCCATCCCTGTATATTAAACATGTCTGTATCATTGTACTTATTTGTGCTGTATCCTGGTTGTTTTTTTACATGCCTGTGCCCCGCTACGCTCTGAGCTTCTTGAAAGACTATGTCTCATTGATTTTGTGTCACTGGTTCCTGGCACAGGACTTGCCTATAGTAGGCTGCAATACATTTTTCTGAATGACCAAATGAAGTAAAATAAAAGGCTTGGCTTGGCACATGAGACCTGTTCTACCCCAGTGTGTTTATCATCTCATGCCTTGTAGCCCCTCCTTCGTATGTATGCATTCCAGCCACACCTTATTTCTTGCTATTCTTTGTGTAAGCTCTTCCCTTCCATGTCTTCAGGGCTTCCTTGAACTTGAGGCTGGTCTCTTTTCCTTGAAAGCCCTTCTGTTTCTTTTTACAGAGTCAATTTCTACCCATTTGTCAACCCACTCAAGAACCACTTTGTCTATAAATCCTATATTATAAGCTCCATGAGTACAGGACCTTGAGTTGTTTTTTTGTTTTGTTTTGTTTTGTTTTTGTTTGTTTGTTTTTCCAAGACAGAGTCTCGCTCTATCGCCCAGGCTAGAGTGCGGTGGCATGATCTCAGCTTACTGCAGCCTCTGCCTCCTGGGTTCAAGCGATTCTCCTGCCTCAGCCTCCCGAGTAGTGGGATTACAGGGGCCCACCACCAGGCCCGACTAATTTTTGCATTTTTAGTAGAGATGGGGTTTCACCATGTTGGCCACCCTGGCCTTGAACTCTTGACCTCAAGCGATCCATCTGCCTTGGCCTCCCAAAGTGCTAGGATTACAGGCATAAGCCACTACACTCGGCCAGGACCTTGAGTATTTTATTTACCTCTCTACCCTTGGGCGTAGCACAGTGCCTGACACACATTAAGTGGTCAATAAATATTTGTCAAATAAATGAACGTTGAAATGCTTTCTGGGTTCTATAAGGTAGTTAATCCTTCTCTCATTAGTACTCTCAACATTTTGTTCAAGTATCTGTCGTAGCACTTACTTTACTGTATTGTAATTGTCTGATTACCTGTAGTTTTCTCCAATCCACTATGAATTCCTGAGACCCAGGACTGTAATATCTTACTATGTTCTGATTCTGCTCCAAGACCTAACACAGTGTGTGCTACACTGTAGGTAAAAAGTATTGAATAAACGGTAATCATCTGTATTCTGGCATGCCGTTGT